GTGATGAGCATCTCATCAAATCCCTGGAGCAAAATAAAAATGATTCAACCGGTGCATTTGTGCACGCTTTGGTCTTTTTCTTAATATATGATTTTTAAAACACCAAGATTTTGGAAATCGGGCGCGTGTCTATTACGCGCAGCGATTTCACAAGAGAAAATCTCGCTCAGCTTCTCCTTCATCGTTCTTCGGCCTCCGGCTTCGGCTGGTGCCGCGAGAGGGCTTCTCTCATCTCCTTTCTGTTACTGTTCTGATGGATCTTGTCCCAATCAACAGCTGGATCTGCGCGGCATCTCTCGATGGGTGGTCGGAGGAACGCTTCGTGCCGGCCGCCGGGGCGTAAGGGTCTCTCCGTCGTCGCCCCTGAGCTTGTCGATGGCTTAGAGCGGCCGATCGGGGAGGAGCTCAAACCCTTAGCGCGCCTCACGACTTTTTGACCGTCAGATCTACTAGATAGATCGCCCTCCGTCCTAGCAAATCCGCCAATGGACGTTGATTCTTTTGGCTTGGAGCGGCATCCGTGGGCTGAGTTGAATCTTCTTTCTACCTTTGCGGTCTTGCATCTTCCTGTGCTTCGGTGGGGAGGATCCGTCGTGCCTGGGATTTCAGCCGGTGGTGCGGCTCCTCCGTTTCAGTCTCTCCCTTTCGAGGATGGTTGTGGGCTGTGGAGGACCGGCTCTGTCTCCATCGCGTTTACTTCCCTTGTCCTCTCCTCGGCTCCTGGTTCCGCGATCCCTGATTTGAGGTGTTGGTTTAGCCCTTTGTGGCTCCCTTCTCCATTCTTCGGGGCCTCGATCAAGGAGTTCAGACCGTAGTGAGGATATTGCAGTGCTTTGTTTTCTGGGGTGGGGAAATGTGGCTCCTCTAGTCAATTGGCTCGACGATTTGGCCTCTTTGTGTTGGACTGCCTGTAGACAAAGGCATTTTCTTCAGCTTAGAGGTCATGGTTGTGTCTCGAGTGTGAGGTTTTGATTCTGGTTGAGTTGCGTCTCCCTTCCTTGGTTCTTGCCGTGATGTAGCTAGTATTAGTTATAGCTTAGCTTCCAGTGGTTGCTTCTTAGCTATTTCTTTGGACTGTTTCATTGTACTTCGGTTGTTGTTGGTTGGGCATGACCTGATGTTTTGGTGTGTCGTTCTCTTGAAGTTGGTTTGCTAGAAAGGTTGTTGGTTAGGTGCAGAGAACCGCATGACTTGACTTTAGCTTTAGAGAAGCTAGTAAGACCTTGGCGTTAGTGGGCGTTTTGTCGTTGTTATATCTTGCTTTGTACTAGCTAATGATGGTGGTAGGGGAGGCTTGCTCTTTTTGTTTCTGGGTGCGAGGACTCTCCCTGGAGTTAGCTCATGGATTCACGCTTCTAGTCGCTCTCACTAGGCTCCCGGGGAGTTAGTGATCGAGGTCGTTGAAGGTCCTTCGTACGCTTAGTGTGGGTCAAAATCTAATTGTTTATTGATTTAAGCAGAAGACCACAATTTCCATACTATCTAACGTTACTTCATTCTTGATTTAAGCTGAGATCACACTTCCCTTCAAAAAAAGTTAAATACTTCAATTTTTGATCCAAACAAACTTCGTATAAGTACCTAAAAAGGGTATTTTCTAGGTGAATATTAAATAGTAAATACTGAGACTGGAAAATACACTAGAGATGATGTTTTAGGCTTTGTTTGGGTTGTTGGTTTTTTTTATTGTATTCGACATCCTCTATATATTAATTGAGGAGACACTAAGTAAAAAATTATATGTGTCGATCAATGAATAATTTAAGGTACAAGTCAATTAAATCAACCAATCAAAATATTTCAATTAATTATATATGTCATGGTGGAGATCTCTACATATCCTATGTGTCAATCAAAGAAAAATTTAAAGGATACATCAATTATTAACCAATCAAAATATTCTAATTAATTATATATGTCATGGTAAAAAATCTCTAGATATTTTTATTATTTTTTAACGAAAATTCACAAATACATGTGTCACAA